TCAGCCACTGCATCTACAGCACAGTAGCGCAGCGCGTAGTGCAATCAATCTGGCGCGCTTCGACCTAACAAGATGCTGCCACCTGACGAAAAACTCTGTTCTTCTCAGAAACGATGATCGAGCTGCGATATCTTCTTAATTTGGCCTCGATTGCATTCTCCTATATGTGAGATTTTAGACCCCTCACTAAACATAGCCTGAAAAACATTAGGGGGAGATTAGGTCATGTACGACATGCGCAGACAGGTTGTTTAGTGTTGTCGGTCACCGAGACCACGCTCATTTTCTGCCATCTTGACCGCAACAAGGTGGGTGAGGAAAAAGTGTGGTAGGTGCAATGCAAGTCGACGTTAATATAAAATTGTTCTGGCGCAAGTGACCACTACTGGGTCCACCTCATAGGGCAGTGGCAGACCTCATTACTTGCGACATGGCAACGGTTAAATGCCGATTCTACTCCACAAAAAACACAACTTTTCGTGTATTATTGAAATACGATCGTTTTGGATTATTCAGTGAAGTGACACAGTTTAATCTATGCTTAGACTTCATTGTCTTTCTGAAGCTAGCACGGGATTATTTCCTGAAAGTGAGACTTGTACTACAGCCTGTAATTCTCTCCGCCAATGACAAAAGTGTATGAACAAAAAAATTGCACATCTCACCGGCGCCTTTTCTCGTTTAGCCATCCAAATACTTGATGTATTTATCACGCGGTCGTTGAAGTTGTTGACAAGACTTGCCATGTGGACTGGTTCGTCAAGTGCTGTCGGGCCGTCCACCTCCCCGTCCCTGTTAAAAAATGGTATCAACAAGAGTAGGATGGGCTTTGAGTACTCTTTGTTAATGTTATTTATACCTTTGTCGGTTCTATAGTTTACCTTATTCAATAGCATTTCGAAAAACTACTAGTTAGTAGGCTGACTAGTCTTAAAATCTTGATTTTTTCAATTTTGATAAGGTGTGTAATCTACCCAGTTAGCGCTCGGTGAGCTGGTCGCGTAGTCTGGTGACCCGACTCATTTCTTTGGAGTTTGTTCCTTAAACCTCCCTATTCCATTT